ACCACTTGAACTTACAATTATTAATTAAACCCGAATTACTCGCGTATTGTAATGTACGTTGTAGGCGCTTTAGTTACCACAGCTCACTAAATTCTTAGTTTCTATAAAATATCTATTAATAAATAAAAATATGCGCACTGGTATATGTCAATAAAAGTCATAGTAATAACTTTCAACTTAAAGTCCATAGACTTGCTGTTAACGATCGAGGAAATGTTTAAACTTGGCAACCGGAATTTGTTTACTGCAGATACGACCAATTCAAAGAGAAATATCACCAGCTATTTTGAAATGTAGTTGATGCATGAAAATCGAGCAATATTTGGCATATAAATTTTAACTGTTCTTTCGACTGTAAAACCGACCAAACGATAACATCAAAACAAGTATATTACGCTTTTATTATAACAGCCAAAATACTCTTCTATTTTGTGTCTTGCGTTTATACCATATAATATTAGTTCTTATATCATAAACATATAGAAAATTATTAGCGATAACAAATTACATTTTTAGTTGGAGCATCCCCAATTTGACCGTGATGTAAACTGATGTTTTGAAGAACGCTTTTTCAGTCTCACTTCAAAGCTAAGTTTGTCCTACAATACGACTTATTTTGGTGAAAGTAAGTACTTATCTAACTGCATATTCTGTTATACGTATATGTTTTATATATGATTTTACATGTCTTTGTTATTTTAAGTTACTCGTGTATTGGTATCCGAATAATGCGAAAAATCGTGTAAAAAACTATTTCTGGAATGAATGAACTATCTACTTAAGTAATTACGTTTAGAAATATAGATTTAGGGCAAGAGTCGTACTATAGTTAGATGTTTTTAGTAAAATAAAAACAACAAATTGCATGAAACATAACTATATTCCGGTATAAACTTACGTCTATATAATGTTTTCCCAGTTCGTTTTGCACTCAAGTTTTAAAACCTTAAGATAAATTTTATAAAAATATGATACAGATATTGTATTATTTTAATTTGAGGGTTCTCTTTTAGGAGGTTTAAGGGTTATTTTGAATTTTAAAATATCGCAAAATACGTTTTCATTTATTTTATTTAGAAGATACTTTCGTTGAGATTCAAATCAATCGCCTTGTTTAAGTTTAACCTTTCAATGAGAACACGGTCGAATCCGACAATTCCGATAAATCCGAAAATTCAAGCGGTCTAATCCGATTGCACCCACCCACAACACTTTAACCCATAAATACTTATATTTAGAGACTATTTTTCTATAAATAAATATAGTATTATAGAATCTGTATGAAATTTTATATTCTGTGGTCAAAACAAAAGTCAGTTACTCTATGTATTTTATTTTATTCTACTGTCAATTTACGACATTTGCCGATCATACGAAAATGGCGTAGACAGAGACACCTATAGAAAAATTGACGCCTTCTTTCGCATTCGCACACGAAAAAGATAGATTTATGCATACGTCTTGCATAGAAATGAGACAGAGCGTTGTGATTGTTTGTCCCTTTCTCCGTGCCGGTGTTTTTGTTTAGCAAACTACACTTTTATCCATCCTTTCCTTTCTCTCTAAAGTACTCGAGCGCCTAATATACCAACAGCTGAGCAAATTCCTGTCCAATCATAACCTTTTGAATTCATTCCAATCTGGTTTCCGTCCCGGTCATAGTACGACTACGGCTTTGGTTAGAATCACTGATGATATTCGCCTGGGCATGGATAGTCAGCAGGTTACAATACTGTAATGCCTTCAATACTGTAGACTTTGATGTTTTACTCGCTGTCCTAAGTTCTCTTAACATATCTCCTGAAGTAATTGGTTGGTTTCATAGTTACTTGCAAGGGCGCCGGCAACGTGTACAAATTCAAGACACGTTTTCTGACTGGTCTGCTGTCAAAGCTGGCGTCCCACAAGGTGGCGTGTTGTCTCCTCTATTGTTCTCTATCTTCATCAATTCGATCTGTTCCCACATAACTTCTCTTTACCACCTATATGCAGACGATTTACAAATCTACTCTCAATGTAAGATTGCGGATCTCCCCAATACAATTAGATTAATTAATGAAGATCTTATTCGTATTTCTCATTGGTGTAATTCATTTGGGCTTAAAGTTAATCCATTGAATACTCAAGCCATTATTATTGGGAGTTCGAAATTAATCTCTCGGTTAACTTTGTCGCTGCTCCCGCCAATCATATTCGATGGGACACTTATCCCATACAGTGACAAAGTTAAGAATTTAGGTATTATGTTCGATCAGACTTTGTCTTGGGGACCGCAAGTTAGTGAAATAAGTAAAAAAATGTTTGCCGCAGTTGGTTCACTTCGAAGATTACGCAATGTTCTCCCCATTCCTACTAAAGTTGCGCTGGCTCAGTCTCTTCTTTTACCGATCCTTGACTACGCGGACACTTGTTATCTTGACCTAACATACGAGCAACTTAATAAACTTGAGCGGCTTCAAAATTATTGCATAAGGTTTATATTTGGGTTACGAAAGTATGACCACATATCCGAATTCCGCCATAAGCTCAAGTGGCTCCCGATTCGTCTTCGCAGGAATACTCACATTCTTCATCTTCTTTACTGCATTCTGTTCAATCCGACCACTCCTTCTTATTTGAAAGACCGATTTATATATTTAAGTAGTTTACGATCTCAAAATAATCTCCTTCTAAGTACCCCTAGATATTCCTCTTCCTTCTATTCTAATTCTTTTACGGTTACCGCTATACGACTATGGAATTCTCTCCCCTTACATATCAAAAAATCTAAATCTCTTCCTATATTTAAAAATAAATTAAAACTCTATTACCTTTCCTCTTAAGTTACTACCTGTCGTCATTCATTTTTAATCATTTATGTTCTTCTATTTATCTTTCTTTATCATATTCTGTACACCCCTTCCGCTATCTTTTAAAATAGTATCCTCTGCCCTAAGGTTGCCTGGAAGAGATCGCTGTTTTAGCGATAAGGCCGCCTGTTGTACCAATGTCCCTTTAAATATATAAATAATGTAATATGTTCCTTGGTGTACAATAAAGTATATTTTACTTTACTTTTCTAAACAACTTTGACAGTTCTTAGCGATCTAAGGAGTTTACAAGTTGGTTTAAGTGAGAAAGAAAGTGTTTTGTGAGCTTAACATTCATGAATCTTGTTCAGTTTGTTCGGTTCAGTTCTTAGAACAATTAAAATTTGTATCTAAATATGTTTAAAAGTCATAAAGATTATTGTATAACCTAAAACTACGTTATCGTTATTTCTCACTCGAGGCCACGCTAATCATTAGTCTATAGGTTTCTCTGTCTACGGAAAATGGCGCAATTTTATGGTAGATTAAACATAAAAATCCATAGAGTAATTTATTTGTTTAGACTACAGGATAGAGAATTTTATTTAGATTCTTTAATGACAAACCTCTTCATAGTAGTCTATAAAATATAAGTTTTTATGGTTTAAAGTGCTGTGGTTGATGGTTTAATATGTCGTAAATTGATATAACCAACCGTCAATTTATATAAACAACTTTATAAATTAATAAAGTGGTATTTCATAAAAAACTGAGCATGTAGTTTGCAATAATGCAAGAAAATCTTTTACTGTCTGGCTCATATTGCGAATTCATCAGTGAAAACGAGCCATTTCTATATCATGTAATACATACTACTACTCATAATAAAATACAAAAAAGCATAAAGATGTAAGGTGATAGATAAATTAGCCCAAATGACCAAGTAAGCACATATTGTCAAAATGACGCATGTGATTTAACTTAACACTACAAATGTATCTCGACTACTTCATTTTAAGCCTAATCAATTCGGGTATAGTATTAACCCTAGATCACTAACCTTAAATCGGAGTAACACTATCACTAACCATTCGATTCACAGACTACGCAATGAAACGCAAATATTTTCAAAATCTTTGTTATTTATATTATAAAAGAAACAAAAACTTGAAAGTCCTTTCTTTAAGGAATCAAACAAAACGATGAAAAATAAACAATATTAATTCTTACAACTATTACAAATAGGAACTGTGTGCTCTCCGCAAATGGCCTTTTTGCAGTATGTACAACAATATTTTGTCATACGCCTTTTTTTGCTGGGCAAAATCCACATATTTTTCTTGTTTTATGTAGCTCTTGTACACAGCTTTCTTGTGGCACTTCAATGTTGAGAATATCTTCAATACTCTTTTTTCACATCACGCTGCAAATTCACCGTATTGTAGCGCTCGAGTAGCCAGGGTTTTATTAGTTCATCTGCCATTTGCAAGGCAAATTCTCTCCTCTTGAGCGGTTTCTTATGGTCTCGGATCATATTGCATACGTAAACAACATACGCGTTTATGATACTAATGTTTACAGTATCATAGAATAAGCATAGCGGCCATCTATTGGTTTTGCGACCAGTGCTCATGATAGAACACATTTGATCCACGGTATCTACAGCGCCCTTTGTAGAATTATAGAAATGAATAATTTCCGGCTTCTTGGTAACATCATTGACAGTGGGTTGATCATGGGTGGTTGATAAAAGGTAAACAATATCTTGTTAGACTTGGGCTTGTATGAAACCATGGTCATCTCGTTATCGAAGCAAAATATTGAAGTGCCCACTTGCCGTGCTCTAGAGTTTTTTATTTCCTGGGGTATTTCCCGTTTGTTGCTTCGCAATGTACCAACAATTGTCAATTTATACGGAGCCTGGAGCATATCGGAAGCAAGAGGAATGGATGTAAACCAATTGTCCATAGTTAAGTTTCGATTCGAACCATGTATGGGTTTGGTGATCTCCTTCACCAAATAGCTCACCAGAGGTTCGGTTCCTGGATTAGTTCCCTTGCCTAAATATGGAATGGCATTGCATACATATTTTGTGTACGAGTCTGCCATCATAATAAGCTTAAGGCCGTATTTATTTGGCTTATTGGGTATGTACATCCTAAATGGACAACGTCCTCTGAACCCAACAAGCTGTTCGTCAATAGTTATGTATTAACTGGGCTTATACCATTTTACACAGTTGGTTATGAATGCCTCCCAAAATTGTCTGAATGGAGCAAGCTTGTCAGAGGCCCTCTGCTCTGTTCTTGTTGTCTTGTCGTCAAACCTAAGGCATCTCAGTAAGAAATCAAACCTATCAGAACTTATGTACGCTTTAAAAGTAATTGCACTCCGTTTGTGGTCAAATAGTGTTCTAGTGGGCAAGTGGTTACTTTTTATAGCCTCTGATTGTATCAAGAGACCCAGTAAAGCCGTCACTTCGTTAGTGGAAGTATGCGAGTTGGTATACTTCTCCTGTTTGTATTTAGACTTCTTGATGTCAATCTCCGTGTTGGTATAAGTAACCATCTCATTGATCATTTCATGAGAAATGAACAGGAGAAATAATTCTCTGGGGTCTGTTATTTCTTTGGCTACACCTGCAGGTCCAGGTACTACGTGAATCACATTACGAGAACATGTTCTTGCTCGTGGATTGCAAGGTCTAGTAGACCATTTATAACCGCTCTTTCCATAAAGGTGATTTTTATTGGAACGGATCACAAATGATGACTCAGGCTCCTGCGGCTCCTGCTGATGCTGGATAGACTCAGACCCCGACTGACCTGCATCGGATGTATTATCATCTGAATCTACAAATCTTCGCTTACGTGAGCGCCTGCTGACGAAAATCTCCTCATCAGATGACATCGAACCTTCTTCCTCACTTTCATCAGTTCCTACGTGGGCATCTGCCACCATATTATCTTCGTTTTCGGATTCCGATAGTTCCTCTGCTTCATCGTGGTTAGACTCGATGTCTGACTCACACAACCAACGTCGAATGCGCTCCTCATCTCCTCTCAAATCCATCTAAAAATAAAATTGAAAATCAAAACAATATCGTAAAATGGTCCAAAAATATTCATAGTCAGCAAAATAAATTTTCCCTTTACTTTTATTCCACAAAATAATAGCACATTATTCCTATTTTACAATTAATAGGTAAAAAACCGAGTAGCGTAAAATATAATAAAAGTAATCTTGAAAATAGAAAAATATTATAACTAAAAATAATGTTACACAGTCACTAACCTTTCGTCTGTCAGACGACGCGACGGCTGTATGTCCTGTTCCAAAGCGAATGCGACCGCCACAAGTGCACACGGGTCACTAACAGGACCAATCAGGAAGGTACTGAGCGTGGGAGGGAGTGCGGGTGCCGCGAACCTACCGAACTATGAAATGCGGGGGTATGCGTAGTCTGAGAGACGAATGGTTAGTGATCTAGGGTTAATAATGTGCAAAATATATGACACATAAAGGTGTACTCTTACATCTACTTCTTTATCACCAGTCTGTAGAAGACCACTGCTGAATTGTTTTATATAGAATTGAAATAATAATGGAAGACGGTAATTAGCATCTGCAGCCTTTAGATATGTGCAACCAACTTCGAATAAAAAAGGCTACTGGTGCGTTGTCGAAGTGGAAATGCCTTATAGCTTGTAATTACACCGGCTCTCTACATCCTTCAGACCGGAATATATCAGAGTTCGCACTGCTATTTGACGGTAGAAATAGGTAGGGATGGTATCTACCAAAATGGACTGAAAAGAAACTGTTTTGTAACCTAGTCTAGTTTATCGTTGACGATAAACAGTCTCGTTTCCTCGACTGTAAATACGTCTGTCGACCCATTCCTATCCACGGTATCTAACTAATATTACCATGGTTGCCTCGTTAGGTAGGCAGGTTGGCAACTGCATTTTTATTTCGTATAAATAAAAGTGCCTTATGCTATATATACTAACAAAACCATATCGCGTTGAATTTCGATTTTAGCGTCATCTATCAAAAAAAAAGTAATCTTAGAAACTAAATTTTCTATGTTTATATTATCGTACATCTCCATTAGCTATAAATCACGTCGTGATTACCAAAATGTTGAAAATTTTATGAAATTATTACAATACAATAATAGCATGGATAAACGACTTACATTGTGTTGTGTGTAATGGCGGCGCTGTGTCGTTTCTCGCTGATCATGATGCGACGGTGTCCCCCGTCTTTGCCCTTGCAGTCACTGGCCGCGTCTTGTATGCTTAAACTTCTTAATAATTATATTACTATATTGAGGTATTCATAGAGTATAATCGTCTGGTTGGGCTGAATAAATATATAAAAGATTCTCATATTATTATTGTTATTCATTGGAGAAAATCCAAACAAAATACCAATTCTACAGAATCGGATCCGGGGTTTGTAACCCTAGGTAAAAGCAGTTTCTACGAATTGTATGCTATATGCCAGCTAGAACATTCTTGTAAAACATACATACAACATTATTTATAATTATTTATTCTTTCTTTCATCGCGTATATGTATTATTAGATAAGCACGAATATATTATTGAGTGCAATTCAACACAAATGTATTGCTAAAATTCGGTTTCATAAATAACATAATATTATACAGGTGCATTTAATATTAAAATATTTCCATACTTTACTACCATATTTAAGCCGTCTGAATGACTCTATATTAAGTAAGATTTACAGTTCCGCAGTTAAATTGCAAATTGCAGCAATAGTGGAACGAAACAAAATAATAGAGGCTTAATGGCTTTTCTATTCATTTCTATGAAGTTAAATGGTAAGCCTTGTTGTGCCCAGTTATCTAGTTAATGCTTTAAATGAACTGACGATGGTTTATACAATAGCATATTTCGTGATAAATAATTAAATGAATAAAACTGTTATGAAATCATTTTCTACAATAAATAAAGTAATATTGTTTCATAATACGATATATAATGTAAAGAAGTTTGTATTACATGTATATGTTGCCGGCTATAACTAGCTGCAGTTGGTTAAACTTAATATAATCGATTTGTCTGTATAGCAATTTATAAAAAAAATATCAATTTGTGCAGTTTTTTTCGCAGCCGCACCTTAACCTACTCTGATAGTACCATTGAAGTATTATGTACTTCGACCGATATTACATTATATTTTGTGCAATATGTGCGTATTATTTTCAAATTCAACCATTGTCATAGTAATATACCTACCTACTGTTGCTAATATTACTTGATAGGTGTTCTCGTTATAGTTCAGGGAAAAAAATTCTTAGTATTTTATGTGGGCTTAAAGAAGTTGTTTGTGTTAGGGGTCTACGCCCCAGACATGTCTAAGCCCACTTATATCCGGGAGCAGTTTTGGAAATGGTAAGGATGGTGTTAATGAAGTGTAAGGGAAATGAAAATATTATTATGCTAGGAGATTTTAATGGAAGGGTTGGGGTGAGGAGGTTGGTTATGAAAGGGTATTGGGAACGTTTGGTGATGAAAGTATAAATGAGAATGGTGAAAGCCTCTTCACCGTATGTGTGGAAAGGAATCATTTTTTGACGAACACTTTCTTTCGTCATAAGAAGATTCACATGTATACTTGGGAAAGAGGTGATGATAGAAGCATGATAGATTTCATAACTGTGGATGAAAGAATGAGGAGCGCGGTGGTGGATACAAGGGTTTACCGGGGGTCCAACGTAGGGACGGACCACTACCTGGTCTTATGCCGAATTAGGGGTTTATTCAGAGGTTGGCGGCATAGGACATCTGTGTCTACCACTGCGTTACAGCGTATAAGAATTGAGAGGTTGCAAGATGAAGATGTGAAAGACAAGTACAAATGCAGACTGAGAGAAAATATAAGTAATTTGGATGAGATGTGTGTGAATGAGTTAGACTTGGAGAATGTGTGGCATAATGTTAGAAAAGGTTTAGTGGATGCAGCTACCGAAGTATGTGGTGTTAGTAAGAGAACGAATGAAAGGAAAGACAATACGTTATGGTGGGATGATGAGGTACATATAGAAGTTGAGCAAAGAAGAGAGCATGGCTAGATTTACTAGCGACCAAAGCTGGTAATTCTGGCGGTAAGAATGATGAGAATGAAAGAAAAAAGGCAGAGTTTAAACGTTTAAATAAGAGAGTAAAAGAATTAGTTAAAAGGAAAAAGCAAGAAAGAACGGATAAGAATGATAGAAGAATATTGGATAACTTCCAGGCAATTATTAAAATGTTCTGGAAACTCGTAAGAAATACCAGGGGACTTTCAAAACAGCCTAGATTGAATGCGATACGAGACGAGAATGACTGTATCCTGAATGATGAAATGTTGAGTCTAAAGAGATGGAAGGAATATTTTGAAAGCGTATTTATGATTGAGGAGAAGTGTGAATTAAATGAAATAGAAATTCCGAAAGAAGATGAAAGAGATGGGTAGATAAGTATAGATGAAATAATGAAAGCAATGAAAAGCATGAAAGTAGGTAAGGTAGCCGGATATGATAGAGTTTCACTCGAAATGCTAAGGGCTGGAGAGGACGTGGTGGCAGGCCTGCTGTACACCTTGTTTAATTTATGTTGGGAACTAAAGCGGGTACCGGGAGACTGGTGCAAAGCCGTGATAGTCCCAATATATAAGGGAAAAGGGTCACAGGCATTGTGGGAAAACTGTAAGCTAAGGTACTAATTGAAAGAGTTATGAAAGAAACTGATGAAAAAAATTTGGGATAATCAAGCGGCATTTAGAAAGGGAATGGGGTGTACAGATCAAGTATTATCCATGCGCATGATCGCGGAGAAATTTTTGGCGAAAAACCAAAAGTTTTTTGTCCGTTCATGGACTTGGAAAAGGCTTATGACAGAGTGCACAGGGATGTGTTATGGCAAACGCTGAACGCATTTAGGTTGAGCGCTGGTTTGTAACAGGCATTAAAGTCTCTGTATAGGGACTCGAGTGTTTGTGTTAGAATCAACGGGGTCTACTCGTACTGGTTTGGCATCCATAAAGGTGTCAGACAGCAGACAGCAGGCTGTGTAGCTTCCGCGTGGCTGTTCAACCTATTTATGGACAGCTGTTTGGAAAATTTGAAAGTTGATGAATGCGGGTTAAGAATGGGTGAGTTAACCATCAAATACCTTTTGTACGCCGATGATTAAGTCATACTTGCGTCGTCGGTGGCCGAGTTGCAAATGATGGTTACATTAATGAACTGGGAATTAAAAAAAAGAGGAATGAAAGTGAACTCAAGTAAGACGAAATTGATGGTTTTTGAAAGAGATGAAAGCAAAACGGTATGCGAAATAAGAATAGAAGGAGAGTTAATTGAACAAGTGGATGAGTTCGTATATTTGGGATGTGTATTCAGCAGGGATGGGAGATATGATAAGGATATTGAACGACGAGTGAATGCAGGAAATAAAGTAAATGGAGCTATAAAACTCTATTGTGAAAAGTCAGAATGTATGGAAATTCACAATGCTGTATTAGTCCCTACTTTAACGTATGGTAGTGAAAGTTGGGTGTAGCAGAAGAAGCACGAGAGTAGAATAAATGCAGTAGAAATGCGGTCGCTAAGGAGTATGTTAGGGCTGAATCTGAGTGACAGGGTGAGAAACTGTGTGATAAAAGAAGAGTGTGGTTTGCAAGATGATGCGGTGACCAGGATTAAGAAAGGAATGCTTCGGTGGTTTGGTCATGTAGAAAACATGAATGCGAAAAGACTGAAAAAGCAAATATATGTTGCAGAAGTGAATGTAAGAGTCGGAAAGGGACGTCCTAGGTGGAAGTTTGTCGACCAAATTGGCGATATACTAAAAATGGGCCAAATTAGGAGTACCCTTAACCGACGAGCATGTATGCGTAGGTATATGGATGTGGAAGAGGCGAGAAAGGTATGTCAGGATCGTGCTAAATGGAAGTCTGTAGTCTCTGCCTACCCCTCTGGGTGACAGCCGTGAGTGTTTATGTATGTATGTATGTATGTATGTATAAATTCAAAATAATTTTTTCAAAACTTAATTATATTTAATCATCATTTATGTGTCATTTTTTAAAATAATTAGTCTTCAATTGAAGACTTATCAAAGTTAGTAACTCTATTCTCGTCTCGTTTTCGTACTCGAAATTATTTACGTGAAACGATAAATTATATTCACGCAAAAACTTTCATATGAATTTTATAATAAAACACTATACTTAAAACACAATGAGACTAAGTCTACACAATCTCATCGACCATCTTTCTTTTAGTATTCCTTGTTTGCGTTTTTCTTTTG